AGAAAAAAAAGAAGAAAACATAGATACAAGTCAGCACAACATAGAGATAAGTAAATACAGACATACATCTACCATACCCAGGCCTTGTTGTGAGTATGCTAAGGTCTTAAACCATGGACAGCTACTAAACATGAATAACACTTCACTACACTCAGGGACAATACCTTCAGACTTTATAAAATTGAAATTAGATGGAAGCAACTTAATGGAATGGGACCAGTGTTTACAGATTATATATTTGAAAGAAAATGTTTTATTTTTTATTGATAACCCACCAAATAAGCCTTGGACCTATGAAATAGACTGCCTCCATCACAAAGCATATTATATATTAATTGTCTCTATTTCCCCAAGTATACTTCCCAGTATAGAGCATAATTTAACTGTATTTGAAGTATATCAAAAATTATTCAGACTGTTCTATAGCAAAAATGTAGCCACCACCACAAAAATCTCTAGGGAATTCTATTCTGCCAAACTAAAACATGATACCTCCATGAGTGAACATATCTTGAATCTAAACGCTGTAAGAGCAGACTTTATTCAAAGGGGGGAAACCATTTCTGACAACACCATGAAAAGCATTATAATTAACTCATTAGATCACAGCTGGGATAACTATATTACCTTAATAGATAACCTAAGTATAGAGCAAATTACTTTAGAAAACCTTACCAATAAGCTTATTACTGAAGATAGACTTAGAAGAGAGCGATATACACAACAAAGGGAAGGTAGAAATCAAAGAAGAACTGATTTTAGGGTCAGAGATAGGTACCCACATGAATGTCTCATATGTGGATCTGAAAGACATCAGATTAGAGATTGCCCCAAGAATGCAGGATACAGTGACTCATATCAACACAAGGATAGGAGAATACACTTCTTAGACAGAACTTCCCCAGATTACAGGTATAAGCGAAGAGAATCACCACACCCTAGAGAAAGACAAATGAACAGAAATAATCCTAAAGAAAATAAGAAAGGATCACTATATGGAATAAGAAACAATAACACTTTGATGTCTGATTCACTCAACACTTGGCTCATAGATTCTGGAGCCACATGTCATACAACTCATAATAGAGAAATATTAAGCAACTTCACTGAAAAGAAATATTACATTAAAGTAGCAAACCAAAATAAAGTCCTAGTGAGGGGAATGGGAGACACGCATATAAAGGGTATAGGAAAAATAGAGGGGGTACTATTTGTGCCCGAAATTCCAAATAACATATTGGCAACCCTAAAATTAAGTATAGAGAATGGAATAGAAACCACTTTCAGAGGTGGAAAGGTATTTATGACTAAAAACAACAGAAACATAGGTAAACTATTTACAAATGATGGACTAACATACCTACTGCCACAAGATAACGAACTAGTCTATGCAAACTATCAATTAAGAAACAAAAAGCCAAATTCAGATAGCCATGATGAAAGTAATAATGATAACGCATTGACCACTGATACTAATATGTCTGAAAATTTAAACAATGGAAGACCTATTCACGATAATTGTAGTCACTTACTCCACAGAAAGCTAGGACACGCGAGCTTTCCCGTCATACGAAAAATGTTAGAATGTTCCGAAGATTTAAAAATAAAGAACTGTAAAAATTACTTAGAATGCTCTGTGTGCAATTCATCCAAAATTAAAAACAAACCAAAACCCAAAAAAGCCACTCACACCACACAATCAATTTTTCAACTAATTCATATGGATGTAGTAGGCCCATTAAAACCTTCAATTAAATATAAAAAAAGATACTTTCTAACCATAGTCGATGACTACAGTAGATTCGGTTTTGTATACACCCTTAATCACAAAAGTGAGGTTTTCAAAAAATTTAAGGAGTTCTTTAAAATGGTAGAAACGCAACACAATACTAAAATTAAACAAATAATGACTGACGGGGTCGGAATTCCTATCCAACGAATTTTCAAATTGGCTAAGATCACAAGGAATATTGCACTTTAAATCTTGTCCATTTTCCCCATTTCAAAACGGAGTTTCTGAAAGAAAAAATGGTTTGCTACAAACCATGGTTAAATGTGTGTTAGATGATGCTGGCTTAAACCAATCATTCTGGGCTGAAGCCCTTACTTATTCCAATTACACTATAAATCGCTTATGGTCCAGTACAATCAACAAGACCCCATACGAACTCATGTATGGAAGGAAACAAAAATTGGGCATTTACACATATTTGGTGTATCTGCTGATGTATATGTCCCCTCACAATTAAGACGCAAAGGAGAGAAAGTATCCAAAAGACTGATATTTATGGGGTACGAATCAGGAACCAAGGCATATCGCTTCATTGATAAAAATAACCACTTCATTGTATCCAGATCTGCTGTGTTTCATGAACACATGAACTGGTCAAAATTACATCTCAATGAAATTTACCCAGAATCAAAAAATATTACGCACACGTACGCAGAACATCATACATCAGATACGAACCCCAAATCCACATCCACAAACAGAATCAAATGCCCAAAAATAGTTAATGATGAATGGAAAAAAGGACACCCCACTTTGAAGGTAGATCAATTAACCGAAAAAGAAGCTAAATATATGCATAGTGATGAATATCCCCAGAATAGGCCCATTAGATCCAATAGGGGCGTAATCCCTAAAAGATTAGATGATTACGTACTGTCTATTCAAGCCAAACACCTGACTCCCAACACATATGATGACATACTTAAGTTACCCCTAGAAGAAAAAAGTAAGTGGGAGGAAGCAATGAAAAAAGAGATGGACAGTTTAAGAGAACTAAATGTATATACACCAACAGACCTACCCACTGAGAAATCCCCCATTGGCACTAGGTGGATCTATAAAATCAAAGAGCTAGAGGATGGTAAATTCCTATACAAAGCCAGATTAGTGGCTCAAGGCTTTGCCCAAAGATTTCCGGATGACTATGAAGACACATACTCCCCAACCATTAGATCAGAAAGTGTGAAAACAGCACTAGTGTTAGCTTCCATTTTAAATCTGGAAGTATATCCATTTGACGTGCAGACAGCCTATCTGCACGCTGATCTAGATAAAGAAATTTATGTGAAAGCACCCCCAGGAAAAGATACAAAAAAGGGAGAAATTTGGCTATTGAATAAGAGCCTTTATGGACTAAAACAGTCTGGTAAGCGGTGGTATGAGTGTTTATCAAAGATACTTAAAGATATAGGCTTTGTAGCTACTTCATCTGATTTTTGCTTTTTTACGAAAAGAAATAATGATTCTATTGAATATGTTTTGATTTATGTTGATGATATATTATATTTTGGACGTGACAAGATTAAATGTGATAATTTCGCTGAACAACAAGGCAAAAATTTCAACTTAAAAATATTAGGAAAGGTAAATAAGTATTTAGGAGTCCAAATTGACAAAACAGACAAGGGGTTCAAATTATCTCAGAAAGACAAGATTATGGAACTCATACAAAAATGTAACATGATTAACTCAAAAATTTGTGATACTCCTATGTCAACTGATTTTTATAGGAATGTGTACAATGAGTACGAACCATTCAAGGATAACACTTTATATTGATCAATTATTGGGTCCTTATTATACATATCTAATTGGACCAGGCCTGATATCACCCTTGCCGTAAATTTGTTGTCAAGACATGTAAGCAATCCTAACTTATACCATTGGGAGGGAATTAAGAGGATTTTAAAGTATCTGAAATCTAGCATTGATGTGTGCCTATTCTTAGAACCATTCATTTCTGAAAAACCAACTTTGACCTGCTACGCCGATGCTGATTGGGCTACTGATTCAAAAAGCAGAAAAAGCACTTCTGGATATGTTTTTCTTATAAATGGTTGTGCGGTGCACTGGTACACTGGCAAACAGAACTTAATTGCCACTTCTACAGCGGAAGCCGAATACGTTTGCTTATCCAAAGCGGTCAATAATCTAACTTGGTTCGATGATTTGTTATCTAATGTGTGGGATGAACCTGTTTATCCAATTATTATCAATGAGGACAATAGGGCAGCAATAGATATATCAGCTTCCGAAGCAATAGGTCAACGATCTCGACATATCGATATCAAATATAAACATGTGAGACAACTGTCAAGTATAGGATTCATTAAAGCTGTTCATTGTGATACTAGTGAACAAATTGCTGATATCCTCACTAAGCCATTACCAACCAAACAACATGTGTATTTGACTTCCAAACTCAACGTACATATATAATCTTAATAACCCACCATTAGTTAGGTATTTTAGAGGGGGATTAGTTACAGTTGAAAATACCTAACCTGATATCTGTAAATATGTAAATATGTTTGCTTGTGTATATGTCATTGTGTGATGTCATTGTGTCACTTATCATTGGTCACTACTTACCATTAGCCCCGCCTCCTCTGTATATAAGCTCTCGCTCCCCTCAGATTGATTGCTGTCTAAATGTGTTCCTGAGGAAGAAAAGAAATAAATATTGTTATTACAAGAAAGTCTACAGTCTTATATATGGGCCTAGCCAGGATAACCAAACTAGCAACAATATATGCTTGACAAATAAAATAAAATAAAAAAAATAAAATGTCATGAACTTTCAGGGCTCAGTACGTAGCTAATCTTCGTAAGCTTAGTGGTATCACATTTCACTCTTTTGTTTGGGTCAGTTGCCAGAAGTCAAAAATGACGGTAGCATTTAATCAGTGAAAACACATTGCAACCACCTTAGATAAGAGGGGGGACAAGCGCGTTTTTCTGCCTGCCTGGAGATGGTGCTCAAACAGGCAACACCTGTGGCTAGAAAGCGGACGGTACAGCAGGCGGCGCCTGTGGTTGTGTTTAAGGAGTTAAAATCATCAAGTACTGCATTGCTAGAAAGGATGGGAGGAGAGGAGACGCGCAGGGGAACTTCCTCTTCCGGATGGCTGATGGGAGGAAGTTGGTGTGCAGAGCGGCTTTTGTGCTGTTTCCATGGCGGAAGCAGCAGCTGGCAGGTGAGTGGAGGGCAGCAGGTGGGAGGAGAGTCCGGGAGCAACTTGGGCTGGAAGCGGAGAAGCAACTGGGCTGAAGCCTCTCAGCTGCGGCTGCTGCAGGTTCCTTCCCTCCCCAAATGGAAGCCCACTGGTGCTGCAGGCTGGGAAACTGGGGGCTGCAATTTCTGCTGGTGGGAAGCTTGAAAAAGCCTCCTTCCAATGCAGGTTGAGCCTTTGGGGCTGGTTTCCCTCCAGAGGGAGCTCCGTCACTGGAGGTTTGGAAGAGAGCTGGAAGAAACCTTGGAGGTCTTAATGACATCTCAGACAAATGGCTGTCCCGTCGGTTTAAAAGCCACCAGCAATGGAGCCCCCACAACCTCTGGAGGGAAGCCATTCCCGAAGAATCAACCTTCACTCAAAAGAGACTTTTTCAGTCTTCCAGGCAGCAGAAAATTGCAGCCATTCCCTTCCACTGGCTAATTGTTCTCACTGATGGGATTTTTCCTTAATTCCAGGTTTTTTTCTCTCCTTGATTAGTTTCCATGCATTGCTTCTTGTCTTGTCCTTCTGGTGCTTTGGAAAAGAAGTTGACCCTTCAAGTATTGGAACACTGCTATCATGTCACCCCTAGTCCTTCCTTTCACTAGACGATTCATTCCCAATTACTGCAACCCACTAATTATCCCTTCTGCTCTTCTCTGCGCTCTTTATAGAGTCTGGATGCCTCTTTTATATTGTGGTGATGAAAAGTGGTTGCAGTAATCCAAGTGTGATCTTAATCAAAGCATTATAAATTGGTACTAATACGTCATGTGATCTCGATTCTATCCCTCTGTTTAGGCAGCCAGAGTTTCTCAGGCTTCTTGAGTTGTTTTCCCATTGATTGATTGATTGGTTGGTTCGATTTATATGCCGCCCTTCTCTGGAGACTCAGGGTGGCTTACAATGCATTAATCAATAGCCTTCATACTTTTGTATATACCTGCTTAGTAGGGCTTTCGGGGGGCCCCAAGCAGTGTTCTTTTTTATACAAAGTCAGCTCATTGCCCCCACAATCCAGGTCCTCATTTTACCTACCTCGAAAGGATGGAAGGCTGAGTCAACCTTGAGCCTGGTGAGATTTGAATTTGCAGTAATTGCAGGCAGCTGGTGCTAGTTAACAACACTTTAGTCTGCTGCGCCCCCAAGGCTCTTGTATAAGATTTTCATCCATGGAATCCTTCCCAAGCTGTCTCTTGGTTTGTTGAAATCAGCTGCTTTAAAGTCTAAGTCCTTAGTTTGATTTTGCTCTATTGCTTGTGTCTGCATTATATTGAATTCCAGTATGACATGGTCACTCTTCCCCCTATTTATCTGCAACTTCAACACCCCCCCCCTCCCCTATAATTTCCTCTCTGCTAGTAAAAATTTAGATCACTATAGGAGATCCTTAGTTCCCTTTTCTACCTTTTGGATGACAAGTTGTCATCTAGATTCATTAGGAACCTTTTAAGACAGGGGTGACAAACTGGCGGCCCATGGGCTGGATGCGTTACATGCAGGCCACACCCACCCCAGCTCCACAAATGGGTAGAATGTCACAAAATGTCACGTGACGGCAACATGACATGGCAAGTTTGACACTGGTGCTTTAAGACAAGATTGGCCAGCCATTTGTCTGGAATGTTATAGGGTATCGTGCTGAGAAGGAGATTGGACTAGAAGACCTCCAAGGTCCCTTCTGACTCATAACCTATTCTGTTACGGGGTTGCTATTCCCTTGGCAACCAAATTGCAGTGATTCTGCCACTAGTCTTTTTCTAGGGTTTATGTTTTTTACCTTCCAGGTCTTGCCAAAAGCACGGTATTTCTACTGACCGTATTTTTCGGACTATAAGACGCACCTAAATTTAGAAGAGGAAAACAACAAAAAACGGTTTTGGCCTACCTTTTTTTGGGCCGTTTCCAGCCTTTTTTCGGTCTTTTTCTGGGGCTATTTTCAACCCATTTTTGAGTGCTTTTTTCAGCTCGTCTTTGAGGCTTTTTTCGGCTTGTTTCTGGAGCTTTTTTCCCTGTTTTTGAGGCTTCCCCCCCTCCCCCCGTTTTTGAGGCTTTTGGGGGGCTGTTTTGAGGCTTTTTTGGTCAATTTTTGAGGCTTTTGTGTCCCGTTTTTGAGGCTTTTTTTCTGGCCCGTTTTTGAGGCTTTTTTTGGCCTGTTTTTCTGAAAAAACGTTCCTGTGCTTTTGAAGGTGCAGGAAAAGGAGAGACACCAACTTGGGTTCTGCCAACCGTTGCACATTTTTGATGACTGCAGCATCCCAAACTCAGGATCCCCGTTTGTGACCTTCTCAGCTAGATTCTGAAGCAAAATTAGTAGGGATGCCAGCAGGAAATTGCAAGTCGCAGTTTGTGGAACAGATGTAAGTTGTCACTGTCATGTGACATCATGCTTTATGACCGGCTGCTTAGTGACACAGAAGCCAGTCCCAATTGCACTCAGTAAGTCAGGATTGCTTGAATTGGGTTGTCACCAGAAGGGGTTGTAGACAGCATTTTCTTCTCTTATTTGCAGCTGAGGACTTTCATGAGCAAAACTGGTGCTTCAAATCTTGCAGAGGCTTTTGGCATCATTTCCTCAGTTCAAACGCCACATCTCTAAATTTAGCTCAGAAGGTTTGACATTAACTATTTTGGGACATTTTGTCAGGCTGAAAACTCATGGAGCTTCCACATATATCATTTGTAGGTGTTTGTATCTGTATTTCTTTCTATATGCATATATCTGCAATTATATAATCTATCCTCAGTACATAAAGTTATATTTGAGGATAAGCCTTTTCAGTGCCAAGAATTTATGATTGACCCAAGTCAACAACATAATTTCATGGTTGAATAGATATCTTGGTACTCTTCCATGTGTCAAATGAATCATAATTAATGTAAGAGACTATTCTGGCATTGTGGCATGTTTGCTTTTTTGTTGTAATGTATACTTTTTTTTACATCTTCTGTAACCATTTTATACACAATTAAAGTTATACTTTTCTTTGAAATTTATAGACAAAGAGGATGGCAATAAGAGCACTCTGGACAACTGAGAATAACAAGCAACGTTGAAAAGGAAATAAAATTGGAAATAAAATTGAAAAGGAAATCAAAATATATTCCATTTCCTTCAGAAAACCACACAATTCTCCTTCTGCAGCAGCTAATAGACAAAAGGGAGAATTAACATGAGATTTTGAGCTGGAAAAAGTAAAGGATACAAAACTCAAGGATACATTTCATGAAAAATCAAGGAAGATTATTTTTCACTCAGAAAAAGATGGAAATAGCTGGAAGTTAGGGGAAAGGAAAAGGTCTTATTGGGCAGGGCACATAGGACAGACAATGATACAGGCCTTGCTTTGGGAAGAAGCAAATGGCTTTAATCAAAGCACCACTAAACAATAGATCACACATATTATTGACCTCAAGAATATCAGTTGTGGAAAAGCTCCATAGATCTGCCTATTGTAGAAAAAGCACAGATTGCAAATCATAGCTGATTAAACAAGAAGATCCCAACTGCAGAAAAGCCATACAAATTATCTGAATATGCCAAAAAGTTTGGTCAGCTTCCTTGTGGTTCATGGAACGAATCACACAGGAGAGAAGCCATACGAGTGCTCCTGATGTGAATACTTTAGTGAGCATGGCAACATGGTAATACATCACAGGACACCCATCACGTAAGAGTGTCCAAATTGTGTGAAAGTATCATTGGAAATTACCATCTCATGAGACAACAAAGGACACACACAGGAGAGAAACCCTTTCAATGTCCTGATTGTGGGAAAAGGTTCAGTCAGAATTGCAGCCTGGTGACACACCAGAGGATTCACACAGGAGAGAAACCATTTGAATGTCCTGATTGTGGGAAAAGTTTCAGTCAGAGGTCGAGCCTGGTGACACACCAGTCGACTCACACAGGAGAGAAACCATTTGAATGTCCTAATTGTGGTAAAAGTTTCAGTCAGAATTCTAATCTGGTGATACACCAGAGGACTCACACAAGAGAGAAACCATTTGAATGTCCTGATTGTGGGAAAAGGTTCAGTCAGAAATCCAACCTGGTGAAACACCAGAGGACTCACACAGGAGAGAAACTGTTTGAATGTCCTGATTGTGGGAAAAGATTCAGAAACAATTCCAGTCTTGTGGAACACCAGAAGACTCACACAGGAGAGAAACCATTTGAATGTCCTGATTGTGGGAAAAGTTTCAGTCACCATTCCAGTCTGGTGACACACCAGAAGACATACACAGGAGAGAAACCATTTGAATGTCCTGATTGTGGGAAAAGATTCAGTCACAATTCCCACCTGGTGACACACCAGAGGACTCACACAGGAGAGAAACCATTTGAATGTCCTGATTGTGGGAAAAGTTTCAGTCACCATTCCAGTTTGGTGACACACCAGAAGACTCACACAGGAGAAAAACCATTTGAATGTCCTGATTGTGGAAAAAGTTTCAGTCACAATTCCCACCTGGTGACACACCAGAGGACTCACACAGGAGAGAAACCATTTGAATGTCCTGATTGTGGGAAAAGTTTCAGTGAGAAGTCCGGCCTGGTGAGACACCAGAGGACTCACACAGGAGAGAAACTATTTGAATGTCCTGATTGTGGGAAAAGTTTCAGTCGCAATTCCAGCCTGGTGACACACCAGAGGACTCACACAGGAGAGAAACCATTTGAATGTCCTGATTGTGGGAAAAGGTTCAGTCACAATTCCAACCTGGTGACACACCAGTCGACTCACACTGGAGATAAACCATTTGAATGTCCTGATTGTGGGAAAAGGTTCAGTCGCAATTCCAACCTGGTGAGTCACCAGAAGATTCACACAGGAGAGAAACCCTTTGAATGTTCTGATTGTGGGAAAAGATTCAGTCACAATTCCAGCCTGGTGAAACACCAGAGGACTCACACAGGAGAGAAACTATTTGAATGTCCTGATTGTCGGAAAACTTTCCGTTACAATTCCAGCCTGGTGACACACCAGAGGACTCACACAGGAGAGAAACCATTTGAATGTCCAGATTGTGGGAAAAGTTTCAGTCGGAATTCCAGCCTAGTGACACACCAGAGAACTCACACAGGAGAGAAACCATTTGAATGTCCTGATTGTGGGAAAAGTTTCAGTCGCAATTCCCACCTGGTGACACACCAGAGGACTCACACAGGAGAGAAACCATTTGAATGTCCAGATTGTGGGAAAAGTTTCAGTCGCAATTCACAACTGGTGACACACCAGAGGACTCACACAGGAGAGAAACCATTTGAATGTCCTGATTGTGGGAAAAGATTCAATCGCAATTTTGACCTGGTGACACACCAGAGGACTCACACAGGAGAGAAACTATTTGAATGTCCTGATTGTGGGAAAAGATTCAATCGCAATTTTGACCTGGTGAGACACCAGAGGACTCACACAGGTGAGAAACCATTTGAATGTCCTGATTGTGGGAAAAGTTTCAGTCGCAATTCCAGCCTGGTGACACACCAGGAGACTCACACAGAAGAGAAACCATTTGAATGTCCTGGGAAAGGTTTCAATCAGAATTCCCACCTGGTGACACACCAGAGGACTCACAGAGTAGAGAAACCATTTGAATGTCCAGATTGTGGGAAAGATTTCAGTACTAAGACTAGCCTTTTAAATCATGTGCTTATACACATAGGAGAAACCATTTAAGTGCCCCAAGAGTGGATGGTACTTCAGGAAACATTCCACCCTTATTGCACACAAGAAAATGTGCATGGATTTTCCAAAGTGATGAGTGATGATCTAAAGCAGTGGTTCCCAAAGGGGCCGTACCAAAGTGGGGGGCCGGTGGGATGACTTAGGGGGGCAGTAAGAAGCAAGGGGGCAGCAGGGGGCACTAGACACAAAAGGGGGCGGCAGGGGGGCGTGGAGGGTGGCGCCCACCCTTTGGCCTGTGCCTCGCAGCAGTTACCTCCTTGCAAGCAAACAGCAAGAAAAAACAGCTCCTTTCAGCTTCAGCACAGGCTAATTGGCACAAATTGATTAGATTGGCCTCCCGACTCTCTCAGCTGTTTTGCGCAGGGCTCTCCTGCTTGCTGCAAAGAGTGTTGGAGCAGATTTTTTTCCCCTTGTGCTAATCAAGCTATGCTGAAAACGAAACTGAAAGTAAAGCAGGCTGTTTGCTGCAAGAAAAAATTAGAGGCAAAGGGAGAATTCTTTTTCTTCTTTTTCCTGACTAAAAAATGTAGGTGCAAACAATGGGAAATTTATGGCAGGAGAGGAGAGTTCAAAATTTTAAAACACAAAAGAAAAAAAGAGGAAAGAAAAAGGCAAAAATAAAAATGGGAAGGGAGAAAAAGAAATGAAAGAGAAAGATGTTATACATATTTAGAATTGAAATATGAATAATAGTAAGAAATAAATGGGAAATCATGATTGTAAAAATGAAATGAATAATAATTGGAATATTTGTCTTTGTATTTTTGAAATCTAGACGATGATATGTTTTCTTTTTTCTTTTTTTTAGAAATATAAATAAGTATAAACTGTAACAATTGAAATACCTTGAATGGTGTATGGTGGTGAAAGTAAAAAGGATTAAGTTGTAGGTTGGATAACATTGTTCTATTTTTCATTAACAGCATTTTCACACATAATTTCTACAACTAGCATCCTTCTCTTTAATAACAAATTAACTTTTTGACTGACTCTTAACCATTTTCTTAGTCTCTTCACAGTTCTCTTTCTTGATGTTTTCCTCCCTTTCTTCCATTTCTTTAGCTTCTTCTTTTTCCTGTTCTTATATCTCCCCTTCAGCTTTTTTCCTTTAATTTTAACTCTATTACTTTTCATTCTCAATCTTACCCCATTTATTTCACTTCATATTTGAGATGTATTTTGGGTGTCCTCCTGGACTCACGGTTGAGTCTAGAAGATCATATAATGACCATGACCAGGGGGCCATACGCCCAGATTCGTCTGGTGCACCAGTTGCGTCCCTACTTGGACCAAGATGCCCTACGCACAGTTACTCATGCACTAGTCACCTCACGTATTGACTACTGTAACACTCTCTACATGGGGCTGCCCTTGAGGGCCACTCGGAGGCTTCAGCTGGTGTAAAATGCAGCCGGGCGGGTTGTGATGGGAGAATCCCGATACTCCCATGTTACACCCCTCCTGCGCGACTTGCATTGGTTACCGGTTGCCCTCTGGGTGAGATTCAAGGTGCTGGTGATGACCTATAAATCCCTACATGGCTTAGGCCCAGGATATTTGGCGGACCACCTGCATCCAGCAATGACATCCCATCGCCTGGTCCACGCCCATAGAGAGGGCCTGGTCAGGGTGCCGTTGACTAGGCAGTGTCGGCTGGCGGCCCCCAGGGGTAGAGCCTTCTCTGTGGGTGCGCCCACCCTCTGGAATCAACTACCCTTGGAGCTCCAGTTGGCTCCTGACCTCGCACCTTCCGCCGCGAATTAAAAATTTGGTTCAAGTTCCACGACTTGGACTGATGGGGTTTTAAGGGTTTTAAATTTTAGTGGGTCTAATCAGATTTTAACTTTGTATTATGGCTTTGTGAATTTTATTATTGTGAGCCGCCCTGAGTCCATTGGGAGATAGGGCGGCATATAAGCCAAATTAAATAAATAAATAAATATTTCCCCATATCCATTTTTATTCTATTACTATTGAACCCAGTGTAATCATCCGTTGGTGAAACGTCTGGGATGGCTCGGGAGTTCATGGCTTCCATGACGGCCATGGACCTGACCCAGTTAGTTCATGGCCCCACTCACGGGGGGGGGAACACACTCTAGACTTGATTTTTGTCTCTGGCCAGTGGTTGAGTGATCTTGTTATAGGGGATATAGACATGGAACCCTTGTCATGGTCAGATCACTCACTCCTTCGTCTGGACCTTCGTACCGCTACACCCCGCCGCAGGGAGGCGGACCCAATTAGATGGGTCTGCCCCAGGCACCTGATGGATCCTGATAGGTTCCAGACGGAGCTTGGGCCAATTCCTGATGATCTGGCACACGACTAGGCCGAGGACCTGGTAGCTGCCTGGGATCGGGCGGCTGGTGGGGCCTTGGATCGAGTCGTGCCTTTGCGGCCTCAGACCCGGTGTCGATCCCTCGCGGCTCCTTGGTTCACCGAGGAGTTGAGGGAGATGAAACGCCAGAAAAGACGCCTAGAGAGCGGTTGGAGGGCCAGTCGCGCTGAATCTGACCGAACACTGGTAAGGTCGCATATTAAGACCTACCTAGTGGCGATAAAAACAGCAAAGTTTAATTACTTTTCCACCTCTATTGCATCATCAGGGAATTGTCCGGCTGCCCTGTTCAGGGTAACCCGCTCCCTGCTCCATCTGGGAGCGCGGGAGGATCCCTTGGAAGGCAGGGCGGAGGATTTCGGATAATACCTACATGACAAAATCGCTCAGATCCGGGGGGACTTGGACTCTGACTGGGTAGATCAGGGCAGGGTGACTAGGAATAGTCTTGAGAATGTTATCTGGGAGGAGTTTGATGCTGTGACTCCCGATGATATGGACAGGATTTTGGGGAGACTTAGTGCGGCCACATGTTTACTGGACCCGTGTCCCTCCTGGTTGGTACTGGCCTCCCGGGAGGTTACACGAGGCTGGCTCCAGGGTGTTATCAACGCTTCGTTGAGTGAGGGTCACTTCCCCACGGCCTTGAAAGAGGCGGTGGTGAGGCCTCTCCTCAAGAAGCCATCCCTGGATCCGGCAATATTGGCCAACTACCGTCCTGTCTCCAACCTTCGCTTTCTGGTGAAGGTTGTTGAGAGTGTGGTCGCGCGACAGTTTCCACAATTCCTGGAGGAAACATCCTATCTGGATCTGTTCCAGTCTGGTTTCAGGCCTGGGCACAGCACGGAAACGGCATTGGTCGCGTTGGTTGATGATCTCTGGAGGGCTCGGGACAGGGGTTGCTCCTCTGTTCTGGTCCTGTTAGACCTCTCAGCGGCTTTTGATACCATCGACCATGGTATCATGCTGCACCGGTTGGAAGAGTTGGGGATGGGGGGCACCGTGTTACGGTGGTTCTCCTCCTTTCTCTCCGACCGGTCACAGTTCGTGTTGGCAGGGGGGCAGAGGTCGACCTCGAGGCCTCTTATATGTGGAGTGCCTCAGGGGTCGGTCCTCTCGCCCCTCCTGTTCAACATTTATGTGAAGCCGCTGGGCGAGATCATCCGTGGCTTTGGGGTGAGATACGATCAGTACGCTGATGACACTCAGCTGTACATCTCCATCCCAGGCCACCCCAACGATGCCCTTGAAGTGATGTCCCAGTGCCTGGAGGCTGTACGGATCTGGATGGGGAGGAACAGTCTCAAGCTCAACCCTTCCAAGACTGAGTGGCTGTGGTTCCCGGCATCCCAATATAGTCAGTTGACTCCATCACTGACTATTGGGGGCGAGTCTTTGGCCCCCACAGAGAGGGCTCGCAATCTGGGAGTCCTCCTGGATACGCAGCTGTCCTTGGAGGAACATCTGACGGCTGTAACCAGGGGGACCTTTTATCAGGTTCGCCTGATCCGCCAGTTGCGGCCCTTTCTTGATTGGGATTCCCTGTGCACAGTCACTCATGCCCTCGTGACCTCTCGCCTTGATTACTGTAACGCTCTCTACATGGAGCTCCCCTTGAAGAGCACCCGGAGGCTCCAACTGGTCCAGAACGCAGCAGCGCGGGTAGTGACGGGAGCAGCATGGCGCTCCCATGTAACACCGCTCCTGCGTGAACTGCACTGGCTTCCGGTGGTCTTCTGGGTACGCTTCAAGGTGTTGGTTATCACCTTTAAAGCGCTCCATGGCATAGGGCCTAGCTATCTTCGAGACCGCGTACTGCCACCGACGACCTCCCATCGACCCGTGCACTCCCACAGAGAGGGCCTCCTCGGGGTGCCATCAGCCAAACAATGCAGGCTGGTGACCCCCAGGGGGAGGGCCTTCTCTGTGGGGGCACCTACCCTCTGGAATCAGTTGCCCCCAGAGATAAGGAGAATCCATGACCTCAGTGCCTTCCGCCGTGCCCTTAAAACCTTCTTTTTCCAACAAGCCGGGCTGGCCTAATTCTTTTTAAGTGTTTTTAATTGTTTTGTTTATCGTTTTAATTAATGGGGCCAAATTTATATATATATATTTTAACTGTATTTTAATATTTGTATTTGATGTTTTTATTTGGCTGTTCACCGCCCTGAGTCCTCAGGGAGAAGGGCGGTATACAAATTCAAAATAAAATAAAATAAAAATAAAATAAAATCTTTATCTTTTTTCCCCAATTATTTCCTTTTCAATATTATCTCCTTGTTTCTCTTGCTTCTCATTCATCTTTTTTTTTTTGCAAGCTAACCAATTCTCTGCTTCTTTATTTCCCTTAAATGCCTCCCTTACTTTTTGAAACATCTCCCTTAGTGTCTCATATTCATCCTCCCAATTCTCCATATTTTCAATTTTAAAAGGCTAGGATTTTTAAGCTTATTCTTTTCATTTCCATATGTGGGGGTGGGATGCTTTTCAAGGAGCCACAAGGGGGGCTGAGAGCAGAGTCATTCTGACAGTCTTTTAAAATTGCTTGGAAGACCCATTTTTTCCCTAACAATAATGTATACTTTGTAATAAAAGTATACCTGGAAAAAGTATTTGCAAAACTTGGACAGAAGGAAAAGGAAGGCAGGACTGGACTCATAATCAGTAGCTAGTAGTTCATTGTTATCAGTGACTTCCGCTGATTTTAAACTCATTTTAAGACTGGGATTGGTGACTACTGAAATATTCAACATTGGTCTCAGAAATCTTTGATTTGAACTATCAAATCATTGATTTGAACTTTGATTTGAA